CTATTGTTTTGGTTTATTAATATTATATAATACTTTTTACTTAACTGTTATACTCTACTGTTTATATATTGTTACATAGTATCAAAATTTTTATTTCAAATAGACTGTATATATCTGTTATTTTGAATCTATCCTTCACAACATCTTACTTTACAAACTATTTTGATTGGTTAACTGATTCTCAACTATCTTGTCTAGTTTATTTACAGTTCTATATCATCTTTATATTTATCTTTCCCTTTTCTTTTCCTTAGAGGAAGAGATAATATTTGGTGTTTTTCTTTCCTTCCCAGTTTTATTTTCTTCTTTTTTTATAGAAGTGATTGTATCTTGTATTTCTTTCTTTTCTCCATTTTTTCTGACTATATCTTGTGTTTTTCCTTTCTTTTTTCTTCTTTTTAAATGAGACTATATTTTATCTCTTTCGTATTTTCTTCTTCCTCAGCAAAAGAGATTGTTTATAAATAAATTTAAAAATTGTAATAATCCTCATTTACCACTGCCTGATGAGATGCACTGATATGCATCAAAACATGAATGCATTTATGTAGTGGTTACATACATTCGAATGCAAATATCCTATAATAAAGTGTGTGTGTGTATATATATATATATATATATGTATGTATGTATGTATGTATGTATGTAGAGAGAGAGAATGAGAGAGATGTTTCATTGAATAAATTAGACATGTTCTGTCTACTTATTTTCAATAGGATCCTTTCATATTCATGGACAAGCCTTTTGGTGGTGTTATTAAAAGAGAAAATTACCATGTTGATACGTGTTTTTTTTTCTGAGTACTTCCAACATTATCATTAACGTGGTGTTGTTTATTAAGTCAAAAAATGTAATGTTCATTATTTTTGAAGATAAAAATGCTGTGTTCATCTGAAAGTTAAAATTTTTACTTGTGACTTAAGTAACACAGAATTTGGTACCATGCAGTTCGCATAATTGTTGCTCCAGGGGAGATAACTAAGTTATGAGGTTGTAAAGAGTTCTTTTAGAAGAAGAAATAAAGAGTAATAAGTATGGAAACTATTAGTATGAAGCTGGATATTTTAGACTATCTACTGTAAATATTTTAAAGCATTTGTGCAGTATTCATAATTAATTTTGATAAGGTTTGGTTTCAATTTTTTGATATAGATAGCTTCAAAGATTTTTGGCTTGTTTATTTTCATGAAGAACTATGGATGTACTCTCTGTTACTCACTTCACAGGTAAAATTTTTAACTATATATATATATATATATATATATATATATATATATATATATATATATATATATATATACATACTTGTTGGCCCAAGTACTTCTCAACACTGTCTCTATTTTTTCTGGTGGGGTGTATTTATGTATGTGTGTGTGTGTGTGTCTGTATATATACATACACACACACACACACTTGTTAAGATGAATAAGTATGCTGATATTCTTGTTAAATTCAAAGATTCTACAATGTAATCAATCCTGACCAGACATCTCAACTTCAGTCACTTTCTCACTGATGTGATGTGCCTTCCTTCTGTCTTTTCTACAAATATTTTCATGGTAATTGTTCCGGTGAGCTTTCCTCTTTGGTGCCTTCACTGTATGAATTTAAGCATGCTACTATAATGGTAACTAGGTCTCACCATTTTACTGTTGAACTAGCTAGATTCAACCGTCTTTCTGTTCTAATTGTTTCTTTTTTTGCACTTCTCACCTGTGGAACTTTCCAATTTTTTGCTTCCCTGCTACCAACAATCTTTAAAAATTTAAATGAACCATTGATCGCCATCTTCTACCTTCCTCAACCTTATTCCTTTATTGTCCTTTTCCTCACTAAAGTCTTCTCATTCTCTTTCACTCCCTGTAACTCCTTGTGTTCCAGCAGCATTATTGCCCTGCTTGGGGTGAAATGATAACAAAATAATTGCCAAATAATGAATGAAACTTTGTCAGTGCACTTAATTCAGTGGTGAATATTAACGAAATGAATTTAAAAAAATAAATTCTGATGTTTGGTCTGATTTTACAGGTTGGATTGGGCTGTGAACTTTTCAGCACCCTCTTGTATAGCAAATGTTTTCATGTAAGACAAGTAAACATATATATATATATATATATATATATATGTATATATAATTTGAATTTGTCAGAGTTCTGCCTAACAAGCATTTAGAAGTGTGTATGTGTTTGTTTTTTTTTTTTTTTTTTTAAAACATTTGTTTGAAAAGCTATCTTCTTACCTTCAACAAGTGTAGCCTCTTTGGCTGTCAGAAGCATGGACAGTTTTCACTGAGATTCCTTCAATGCAATCAGGTGCTTAGATTTTTTTTCTGACACATTCTGACAGATGACACCCCCCCCCAAACACACACCAAAAAAAAAAATATGTAGGATTTATTTATAGGACTGCATTCAGTAAAGCATAAATTTGATTCATAATTTGTTGACTTAATGAAATTGGAGGCGCTAAGGTAGATAAGAAGCAAGTCTCATAAATATTTATTCTATCTTACACAGTCACTTTCTTGGTTCATTGCAATTTTAATGGCGTTTGTCGTTTAAATATCTGAAGCAATAATCATTTTCGCTTAACAAGACGATTGCATTGTTCACTTGCGAGCATGCAGCTATTTGTAACGTAAGCTTCTTGTGCCGGATGATTCTTAAAAGTTTTCAAATGGTTGCAATTTCTGGTTTTCTCAAACTGGTTCTTATTTCATGAATCACTTTTGCATCATCATCCGCTTAAAGTATGAACATTATCACCACCAATATTGCAGTTTGGGTAAAGTAGCATTCATTATGATGATAGTGTTGATTAAAAAGTTTATTTTGATAATTAACAATGTGGGGGAGGTGAAAATAAGTTGGTTTAATGCAGTCATTGACAAAATGCAACACACTGGTCGTATGCAGCCTGTTTAGCTTTTTAAATGGTGCACCTACTTTCACAAGGAACTTTTTTTTTTTCTTTTTTTTTTTTTTTTTTTGAAGCAATTTAATATTTTTTCTTTTCCTCTTTAATTTTGTTCTGACTTGTTCACTCATCATCTATCATACATAAAAAGATTAAGAATAATGTTTATTGAATTTTGTAGCTTTTCATTGAAGGTAACATTTCCAGCATTCATAATATAAAGAAAATCAAACTAAAATGTTTATATTTTCTTTAAGAAAATCCATATCTGGAAGAAAATTTAATTGAATTTTATCCTGAAAACTTGAGTCCGACAATAGGATTATTCAAAGTCACACACCACTCTTTATGTGTTGTGTTCCCTCAGGATGTTGACGATCATGGCTCTCCAGAATTTCCTGTCCTTCGTAGCTCTTAATTAATTTTATCTTTCTGTTATTTCTCCCAAACTCTGTTCCACCATCCATTTGTTCAAGCTCACCAAGTATATTATCCATTGTTTTCCACTGTCCCTTTTGCGTTCAATCTGTCTTGTGAGTATCAGATGTTCTAAGTCTTCTTTCCACATTATGTGTCCTAGAAATTTTTTTTTTTTTTGTAAACAATTGCAGAACACCTTCCACTACATGAAAAAAAATTCTTTCATGGAGTGAAGCCATGTTTGTCTATAATTATACTGGTAAATGTTTTATATTTTCATAACAATACATTTAAAGTAAAAACTAAGTGTTCAGTTACTTAACATTACTCACATTTAGTCCCACTAATATAACATACATTTACAATTCCATCATTCTCACCCAAATTTACACGCACACCTGTTTAATTTTATATTGCACTTTTCCAATTTTCAGATAAATCGTCGTACATTCAAATCAAACTGATAAATAAACTGTCTAAACTTTTGTTCTGCTTTTGACAAGCTCAGTCATTACCAAGATTGCCAGTGTGGTAGTCAAGATTTTGCTGGCTATATTCTGTCAGTTTGAGGAATAAAATATATATATATATATATAAATATAAAACATGTATATATGTATGTAACATTTTCCTGTCTTAAAGAAAATCCATACAGAGACAAGTGAATGACTCATCTCTCTGGCATGGACACTTGATGACTAAATAGAAAATAGATCTTTGTGCTATTTTAATCATAACTAATATATATATATATATATTATCAGCACCCGCTTGCATTCAAACATTGGGATCATCATCCTCTCTCCTTATTCCCTTCCTCTTCCCCTGACACTTGGTCTGCTATTGAAATCGTCTATATTTTTGCCTCTTCTGCTGTTGGGATCTTCAAGATTGGTTGCGTTCAGTCCGATCCTTCCTCTTCAACCTATGAATGGCCCTTCAGGAGTTGGGACTCCAGACAGCTTTACTCTTCTGATCACTCGGACAAGTATATATAATATATATTATTATTTTTTTTCCCTACCTATGAGAATGTAAATATGTACATATAAAAAAAAATCAATAAATACATTTTTTTTTTTTTTTATCAATTCACCCCCACCGCCCCAAGGTGATAATGCTACTAAGATAAAAAAAAAAATGCAAAAAAAAAAACAAGAGATAAACCTCTTCTCCAGTTCAAAAGACCGAGGAGGAGTGTGAACCAGACGATAGGCAATATGTCAATTGTTATTGAAGAGAAAAACTAAACAGTAAATAAAATTTCAGGGTTTAGGCTGACATTAGAAGTATAGAGTTGAAGTAGACTTTAGAAGGAACAAAGGACAAATTTCTACTCCTGTTCAAAATAACAGGAGGAGTGGGTACACATGCATTATATATATTGTCATCGTCCTGAACAAATCTTTGTTTCATAGAATATAGAAGGGCTGAACAAAATGTTATCAGTAAAACTTTTCTTTTTTTTTTATTTTATTTTAACATCAAAAGCCCAAAAGATAAGGATAACAACTGGTGAATCTTGTCAGGTTCCGATCTCCATCTTTTTATAATCTTTGAATTTGAAGTGTGCATGTGTGTGTGTGTGTGTGTGGTGGTATTTGCTTGCAATGAGCTTTCATTTTTTTATTTTTATTACACTGTGTGTCTTTTGTCATTGCCAGATGTATTGACTTGCAGTCATTATCAAGCCCGGGCAATAGTCAGTTGGAAAGTAGTAGGAACTCTCCCCTCAGTAACCAGCAGGTCCCCCCACAGATACCACACCCTCATCCTGTCAGCACATTGGATAACACGAGCACCACAGTCTCAACTAACCTCCAACAATCCACTAATCCACCAACAACAGCACAGCTTACACCAAATGGTACCACAGATGGTGAGTACTATTACTACTACTACTACTACTACTAATAATAATAATAATAATGTTACAATGACAATTATTATTACTACTACTATGACAGCTATTACTAATACTGGTATTTTCTTTGTTTTTTTTCCCTCTTTTCTTTTATTCTCTCTCACATTTGTCTTTTTATCTTTTTTTCTTTTTCCCTTCTTTCCTTCCCCCCTTTGTTTTGCCCACTCCCCCCTTTGTTTTGCCCACTCCCCCCTTTTCATTTGCCCTCCACCCCTTTCATTTGCCCACTCTGCCCCCTTTCATTTGCCCACTCTGCCCCCTTTCATTTGCCCTCTTTTCCCTGTTTAGACCTCCTTTTACCCGTTTTCCTTTTCCTCTCTTTACTTCCTCTTTTTTCCCTTTTCTTTCTTTTCCTCCTTTTCCTTCCTACATTTCCTCTCTTTCCTTGCATTCTTCTTTCTTTTCACTTCCTTCTTTTCTTGCACACTTTTTATGCTTAATGTTTTATTGTCTCAACATCAGTTTCTCATTTTTATTTTTATAAATTCTGTTTTTTTTTTGTTGTTTTTTGCAATTCATTCTTTTTATATTTACATAGATTTTTGCAATTTCTTTCCATTTTATGCTAAGATATTTTTTTCCTTTTATGAAGTAATAAATTATTAGTTTTCCCACTTTGAAAAAAAAGTGTCCAATTCCTGCAAAATGAATATTTCATGAACATAACTCATCCTTTGGTGGAGCCATTGTCTAACTTCAGTCCGTGAATCCCAAGTTTACTCAAGACATCACTTAGAAGCTTACAAAATGGTTTTCAGAAAATTCTACAGCCATTATTTGCATCAATTAAAAATGTTGCAGATACATTCTTTTCTCTCTTGGTTTTTTTTTTTTTTTGTTTTTTTTTTTTGTGGGAGGCGTGGGGACTTTTTCATTTCTCTTTTTTTTTTCTTTTTTTTTTCATGATAGGCAAAATATTCCTCCAATATTCTTTTTACATTGGGCATTTGGTAATATTCTAAGCCATCTACATGCATTTGGTTAAAAATTATTCACTGTTTTTATTCATGAATCCAAAACAAATGTGCATCATGTAAGAAATTACATTGTTTTGCAACAATTCTGTTGTTAGGAAGAGTTCTCAGCTATGGGTTAAATAGTAGGACTTGTATCAGAGAATCTTTATTATACTCCAAAATATGTTTTGGCTTTAAATAACCTTAAAAGGTTGATAAGCCATTAAAAAAAAAAAAAAAATCAGTCAATCAGTTTAGGAAGGGCTATTTTTTATCCTTAACGTCTTTTGATAGTCTAAACCTACTTAAAATAAACTAAATCTTTGATTTAACAGTTTTATAATGTGTGGGGTGTTAAGCTGAAAATCTATTACATCTGAAATGTAACCTTATTGGTTATTGTTTTACCATCCATGAATTGTGGATCTGTTCAAGTCTAGGATTAACCATTATCTTCCCCACATATCATAAGTGTGCCTCTTACTCTGTAACTCTCTACCTTGAGTAGCTGTTGGGCCTTGTACAGTGTGGACAATATTGTAAAAAAAAAAAGAATAATAATTTTTTAAAAATTTTATTTAGTGTAAAAATAAAATAAAACTTAGTACAATATGAAAGATAGGCCAAGTTTTTTTTAAATTTTTTTATATAAAGAAAATTGATCAAACCAGCCAAGCAATTTACTCTTTTTCAAAACTTAACCAAACCATGCCCGGGCCCAGACTCAGCCCTGTATTCAGATTCACTTCTAAATCCCATTAAACCAACTTTTACAGTATGACATATGAAAAGTTAAAGCCAGTTTAAGTTGCCAAAAGAGATTTGAGAAAATAATTGACTTTGATTTTGCTCGTGAATTTTAGTCTTCTTTCTTAAATCATCAGTTTAGTTCTCAGATTTGGGTACTGTCAATTTTAGAAGTGTAAGGTTTAGTATTTAAGCTTCTATTTGAGCTTCTCACTACACCCCTCTCCAATCTTTGCCCTGCTGAGAAAAAACAAGGAGGTTAGTTATCATACAGCTTATTCTGATGCAAGGCCATCATTTTATAGGCACATTCAGTGGATCTCAGGCTCATTACATATTTCCTTTTCCCACACTGATGGATTATTTCTTTTTTGCTTCCACCACACCTTATCATAAGTCAGGTTTCTGTACCACCTGACCCAACGATTGAACTCTCAGCTTTCAGGGAGTCAGATGATATTTACCAGCGTTTACATATGCAGGTGGACAGTAAAAATAATTAAAATTATTAATCAGTTTCACAAAATATAATTCTGCTTGTTTGTTCCATAGTTACATAGCATGTACATTACAATCTGCCAATACCTCATAAATAGTTGACTATTCCATTTTGATCACGGGAAAATAAAGAAAAGACATATCAGAAATGCTGTTTAGTTTCAGTGAGACAAAGAAAGAAAGAGGTGATAATGCTCTCATGTGTTTATAGCTGTTTTAAAAAGGAAAACTTGTCAATTTTAAATCTTTTCATTTGTATCCTCTTACTACTTTAAATAATGGGCTGCATTCGTACCCATGATTGTTATTGCAGTATTTTGTTAAGGTTGTTAAATTCAAATATTTAACAAGGCAATAGGGGAATTTCCACAAGTATTTCAGTCATGGAACTTACAATGAATTTATTTATTCAGTAAGTATTATGATACATCAGAAAATTTAAATAAGTATACCTGTGAAATTTTCATGCATACAGCTAGTTTAGAATAAATCTAATATATAACTTTTTTTTTCTTTTAAGATCTATTTTCAGGAATGAATACAAGGGATCCAACTTAGCTTACTGTATATAATAAACTTATGCTGTGTCAGGATGTAGTTATCACAAACAGAAATGTAATAACAAGAAGATGAGTTAATGAAAAACAAAATGAATGCAGAAAAAAAATGTACTTTTGTATCACCACGTGCTACAAATGCAAGAAACTTTAATTCTGCAAATTAAGTATTGTTTACCAAAAACAATTCATAAGTCATCCTCCTACTAAAATTTTACACAGACGAAGATAATCTAAAGGAAGGGTTGCCAGGGTTGAGACAAAATTGTAATAGATTTGAAGAATATAAATTTAATTCCTAGAAGTTTGAGACAACTTAATGTTAGGTTCAATGATCAGTTCAATTCTTCATCCTCCAACGAAACTTTCTATATCTTTATATAACATATATAAAGTGAACATTGAAGTCAACACTCAGAGGCAACAGACTGTTTCATGCTAAACGCAATCATCAGGCCACCATCCACATACATACATACATATATATATATATATATATATATATATATATATATATATATATATAAAATATGTGTATCTATCAAACCACATACATTCATATTCACATATATCTATCTATCCATGCATACACACACATATATATAATAAAATTGGAAGGCTTTTTTTTATTTCAACCTGGCCATTTCCTATTATTTAATGCAAAGTGACATAGGGAAGAGAATATAAAATTATTCCCAATGGCGATGAAAGATTTTGCGAAAGCTTTCTTTAAATTGTTTTAAGTGGGTCTCTATTAGCTATACTGGCAATTGCTTCATAAAATTAACATATCATTTTCAGTACATTATTAGGGGTAAAGGAAAGATTGGAAAACGTTTGTGTTAAAAAAAAAATCTGTTTGGTTTGGAGCAATGACAGTCAGGACAAAGAAGTCAGGCCATGAGCAATGCAAATCTTGAATGTAACACATACTCACTTTAGTGATTCTTTCTCCCACGTCTTTGAATAAAATTATTCTTGTCATGATTAGAGTCAGTAGAATTGGCCCATGATTTGTCATCGTCTAAGGAAGGATGAACCACTTTTTGTTTTTGTTGAAGCTTCTAGTAATGTGCTGACCAATTGGATGATTTGTGAAAAAACTGTTTATTCCTATTCTCGTTCTAATCAAATCTTTGTTGAATTGAACTGGGTTTTTTTTTGGGGGGGGAGTGATTGAATAAATAGAATTGCGATGGCAGCAGGCTTTCTGGTTGGTTGTTTGCCTGGTGATGTGGGACGGATAACAATGCTTTGCTGATTGATATAAAGGGCAGGGAAGAACAGGATTTATTGGCTTGGTGGGTGTGGGGATTTGGTGCTGACTCTAATCACTTCTGCAGTGGCAGCATTGGGAACACAATACATACGCTTACACGCACTCCAGTAAAAGTAATGGCTTTTACAACCATCTTTCACTACACTCTCAAAATGCATGAATCCACTCCCCCCCAGCTATGGGTTAAATAGCAAGGCAGTCTGGATTCTTTAGCTATATTAAGTTAACCAGCTGAGGAGAAGGACAATTCAAAACTAGACTGAAGGAGGATGGATATTTGCAGTATTCACAGGCACTTTGTGATCAGGATACAAATGAAAAGAGCTTTTCAGGTTGTCTTGCAATAAATAGGACAGTACAGAGAGAAACAGTACCAAAAAATATTACTCTAAGTGCACACAACTCTAGCCAAAATTAAAATTAGGCGCTTGAATTCCATTTTCTATACTGATAACTATTAATTACATTGTGCTATGTTATCTTTAGTATGTTTGGGCGTGTGTATGCGTGTATCTGTATATGTACGCATCAGTACATATGTCTGTATATATATATATATATATATATATATATATATATATATATATATATATGTGTGTGTGTGTGCATCAAATCATGGTCAAGGCACTGGTTCCCATTCAAAGATAGAAGTTCAGCATTGTCAAGTCTGGTCAATAATTAGATGGAGGAATGTTTTGTGACCCCAGTACTATAAGCAATGACAGAGGTCCTATCATTCAAGTATTAAAGACCCTCAGCACTGTCACTGTTCACTCTCAGACTACACTTGAATCGTATGCAGCACACCTGCACTTTCTAATTTAACTGTTTTTTCCCATCACATCAATGATGCCTGAGTGCTGAGTGTTCATATAGTGTTAGGCAAACTATGAAAGACTAAAATGTGTTTGTTTATAT